GACATAATGATTTACAATAAGGATAATTTGAATATAGTGCACATATATAATATATAGGCGCATTTTATCATGTACATCAAACAGTCTTCCAACATGAGTCGCTTTCTAAATGAGCTTGCTGTTGCTGAGCTTTACTAATCAGCGAGCAGAAAGTCTGTCTCGTCATTTCAGGCCCATGACCAGATTTATTTTTCCCTTTAATTTCATCCATGGCTGTTCACTGCAAGGTGACACGTTTGTGTGACCATTTCTTCTTCTTTTTTGCTTTTATGCAGTACACATATTCAGCAGCATCAGTGTGCAATAGTCTACATTCCCTTAAAATGTGACCCTTCAAAAGACTAGCCACAGAAACAAAGAAAGGTGCCCTGCAGCACACATTTGAATGCAGAGCCTTCCCTCGCTCTTCCAGCATATCAAATGGTGGGTATTTATCACTCAGCGTGGAGCTCAACTTGTTCTTCCCTTTTCATGTTGGCGCTGCACATTTCCATGCTATGGCGCCGTTGTTGATTGCTTCACCTGGTTCAGATGGGCGATTCTTTTCCTGAATGTTTTAATGAAGCAGCTGCACGCTTTATTGCCCAGAAACAAATTGGTCAACCCACTGGACTTATGTAGTTATTATATATTTACATGTCAGATACAGTCAGCGTGCCTCTTGTAGCTGTGTTTTTAGATTGCACACATTATTCTCTGAATTACAGGCTGCAGCTGCTATGATATCGAGTCACCTAGAAGTCTGCAACCAGGTCTGAATGTAGTTTCCATATTTTCATAAACATACCGCGGGTTCCGGTTTGATTCAAATCGAGGACAGAATGCTGAAACTTGATAAGCCTCATGTTATACTGTATAAAAATGGAATAAATTCAGCCTACATTGGTGGAGAAGCTCCAGCTCAGGTGACTGTATTTCCATAATATGATGCTGGAAGCCCCAGATTTCAGAGTCAACTCACTTGGATTGTTAGATACTGGATGGTGGGGGGTGTTACTTGTTAAGCAGTTACTGGCTGCAGTTTTAAGACTGTGGCACCATTGTGTTAGTTGACGTTTTAAGATTGCGTCTCTGGTTGTTGGGAACACATATTAGCTACAGTGCATATGAGAGAATTAGCTTTGTGCAGGTATCTAACAAGAAGAAAAGAAAGTTTTCCGAGCAGATGGGCTCAGGTAATTTGGGTTGTGGTAGCCAAAGTTGATTTTTGTGAAGTCGGACAAAGAAGCTGCACCGTCTAGACGAGAGGTTCTGTTGTGTCGAGCTGGCGTGCTGAACACAGTCAGGATATCAGGGGAGGGTTAAGAGATGACCAGCCAGAGTGCACGGGGAAAGGTTCTCTCAAGGCTCTCTATATTCCATCCACTGGTCGTGTACTCCGTTCCAAAGATGTTTCAGTGGGATGCTTTTTTTCTTTCTCTCTCTCTCTCTCTTTTTGTTTTGAAATTCTGAGCTGCTGAACTCACACTTGGGCTGCTTTTCAGCCGTGACTTTGAAGGCAGCAGGCAGAAAGGAGGCCTCTGATCTCTCTCCCCAAAGAGTTCTTCTCTCTCTCTCTCTGCAGACGTGAGTCTGGCTGAGGCTCAGGTATCGAGCCACTCTGAGCAGTACAGTAGTAATGACATTAATGGGATGCTTTGACTTCGGCATTGGACGATCCACACACACACACCTACACACACATGCACGGCCCCGCTCTGTGATGTCCTGCATTGTCAGGCGTTAATGTCCATTGATAGAATTCATGCTGACCTTGAAATAACTAATTTACATTGAGAACCTGCTCCGCCGCTTGCTGCAAATTTCATCACTGCATTTCTGGATTTTAAACATTTATACGGACATATGTTGACTTGTAATTTTTGAGGAAGCTTTAATGACCGTGCTGTCTTTACATTATTAAAAAGTCATTAATATTGATTCGGTTACATAACTGTAGTTTGCGGAGGGAGATGATGGGTCGTTAGAGAAGTTTTATTTGAACCTTGTTTCCTGGTTCCATAACGTATGGGTGATCTCATTTCTGGACTGAAACACCCACGTGGCTTGTATTTTTTGTTTATTTTATAAACTTTTCACATGCGACAAGCTCATTACGTCCATATTGCACCTCGCGTTTGACAATCAAACAGTGGGATAGGTTTATGTAGGTGGCTCTCTGATCCCTCTCTAATGACCAATGTTGCTGCTGCCGGGAATGTAAAATGTATAATTTCCCGTGTGCCTGGAGATGTTTCCCAAGGAAGACATCCTCCGTTACTGGGTGTTTTCAACAAGTGCAATGAGTCTCTTAAACTGGGTATACTGTCCTGTAGGCTGAATTGTTATCATGCTGCTGCAGTTTTATAGAGTCACAAAAGCGAAATGCATAAAGGACAAAATCACGTATAATTTTATTAAATTAGGCGAGCTGTCTAAGAGAGACGCACTATTTCTTTTTCTGTAATATGTAGCCTGGCAGAATATTTGAAGGGGAAGGTGATATCTACAGAAACACACTCGCGTCTGGTTTCTGCCAAGAACAATGTCGCAGGTCTGTTATTAGTGCACTTGTGTCTTCTATCCGCGTTACTTACCGACTAATTACTCACTCAGTCGTTCCGCGTCTTGCCCTGTTTATCAACAGATAGAAAAAAAAAATCTATGCAGCCTAACTATTGTCCATCTACCAATTAAAGACGTTGATTAAAGATAACACGTGATTTATGGTCGGGTTTAGTAGGAAAAGCTGGTAGAAGGAAGCTGCGCTGACAAGAAAAGACAGTTTGGTGACAGCTGCTTGTGAATCAATAGTGAACATAGTGACAATCATTGGCTTTCCCTCCCCAGCTCTTGTGGCACATTGTTAGCACCAATAAATCAACATTAGTCACACGTCACACACACCAAATGGGCCAAGATGATGGGATTGACTGTCTGCAGGGTCGCACTCAAAGGCGCTGGTGTTGTCACCATATTGGAGTTTTGATACCATCACCTGGAAAAATTGGATATTCGATATCGTTTTTAATACCGTGGGTGAAGATTGGGAATATCAGATTTTAGATATTAACTTAAAAATAAATACAACAGAGCACGAGGGCATTTTAATGCAAGTTTGGTCTTGCTCAACACACACTCTAATGTGTTTTCAAGTGAAATTAAATGTCTGTTACTGAGTATTATAAGCCCTCAGTTTGAGCATTCCACATTGAACTGTTAGACCAGTATGTGGGAAATCAATTCTACGTAAAAGGTTGAAGCAATCATAGTTAATTTATAGTTAATTGGGCACCAAGAGATGCTATCTGTAGTCAGCGGCATATCAGAATATTTAGGCTTGTGTGTTGTTTTTCTTTTATTCCAAAATTGCTCGCTGTCAGGAGCTGATAAAGTTTCTGTTCAGAGCTGGATCTGGCTCGTCTTAAACACAGAGAATAGTGGGGGTGGCAAATTGATTTCTAGTGCGGATTGAATGCTTGCAAATTCAGGTTGCGTGGCAGTCTGCTGTCCCAGCTGATGCTGCTGAGATAGTGCGGCATACCACATGAAATATTTACACGTCTCCGTTGTTATGATTGTTTTTTTTTGGTTCGGATGCTTCTTCTTACTGTAGTTTGACAATTTTTTTAATGGTTCAAATTAACCTTTGGATCGTTTCTCTATTTTATCTTGTGTGTTTTTTATGGTGAGTCAGACCAGTGGCTGAGCTAAAATGTAGATAAATAAATCAAAGCTTATGCAACCAGTACGTAAATTGAAATGCAACTCAAGGCTTTAATGAGGAGAAAATGGGAAAAAGAAACTGCAACGGTTATTTTTTTTTTAAAATACAGAAATACACTTTGACAGGAAATTGACTGCATGCTATATTGGAAGATGAAGGCCATGAACCATGATCATTATTAACTGTCCCAGAGATGCAGGTTTCATAAGTCACTTTAGGGAATAATTGTCCAGCAGCTGCAGGGCGATGGTAAACACTGTGCCTCAAAGTGATGGAGGAAAGTGGTGCGGACTCAAAGACCCGCCCTGGGTCAGCAGCCTGTCACCGGATTTCCACACTTTTGGCAGCGCTTCAAAAATTAAACAGGCAATATTAGGTTCCAAAAAGGCTTCAGTTCTGGGACTTCGGGTCAAAGCTGCTCGGCTCTACTTGTGGGGAAAAAACAACCTTGTCGAAGGGAAAACAAATATATAGTCAACATTAGACATGATGACAGTTGGTTTTAATTCCACTCCATAGATTGAATGATCAGATGTGATTGTTTGACAGCTCCACAGATGTTTCCTGAGAAGCTGTTTAAACCTAATTCAGTTACAGGAAGAAACAAACGATGACGGTGCCTTTCAAGTCCGACCACAGCAGCCTTTTGCATCTACAGGATAGATTTTAATGGCTGTAAAGCTGCCCAGTCTTCCATAGTCGTGTTCATATTGGACATTTCTGCAGTGCACGATAGAAATCCAGTATATTTTAGTGCAAACGCTGGACACAGATTGCTATTTAAAGTGATGGAGCTCGGGGTGGTGCGTGGGCATGTAAACCGTTTGACTTTCATCATGGACACCCACAACTGCTGCTGGTTTTTTTTTTTTTCCCACAATGATGTTCTTTGTCATTGTTTCACCAAGAACCTTTATATGCTGAACCATTGCTTAACGTTCAGTTCAGTTTAACGACTGTGCAGGAAAGGTAAGCAGCAAAGACGAGTCGATTCACCAGTCAGTTGATTGGCATGAAATCAACCAGCTACTAATTTATCAGCTAATTAAGTTGGGTTTTTTTAAAGTAGAAAGTCCGAGAATTATCTGGTTTGCAGATTTTTCAGTGTGAGGTTTGACACCCAAGGTACCACCACTAATCAGACTGTGAACCTTATCTTCAAATGTGTTGAAGCGTTAGTTTCTTATTATATCAAATAATGAAGTTAAAGGAATAACACACACATCTGTTTCAGAAAATTCCATACATTTTACCATATTGCTAAATGTTTTGGTGCTTCTTTTTTTTTTTTTAGATCTTGGTGCTTTCAGTCCAAAGACCCGAGGCGGCGTTTCCGTGCGTGAAGGCCAAGGCGTGGTCCTCATGTGCACCCCTCCTCCTCACTCACCAGGTAAGAGTCTCGACATTCAGTCACAGTCAAAAAGAAAAAAACATGTTTTTATTTTACTCTCCATTTCCTTTGGGATTGTTCCTGAACTCATCACTGTTTGTCATAATTTCCATCACAGCAGGTAATGTGTTTTTTTTTACCACCGTGCAGACGTGAAGGATTGTTCTCATTCTTTATTTATTTATTGTATTTTGATGATTCTGTTCTGGGGTTGTTGTTTTTTTCCCGTAGCCGTCCGTTCTCCTATCCATCCATCCACGCTGTTCGGATGATGAGTGCGATAAGTGATGGCGGCAGCAGAGCCAGCTTCTCACAGATGAACTTTTGCTGGATCATTTGAAATGGAGAGAAATGTTACGCAGCCAATTATTTCACATAGGCAGAGGATAGGCGCTGCTCTTTAATGGCAACATCTTGAAATATCCCACTTCACAGTTGTCCTCTAATGCGAGCTCTTACGCGAGTCATGAATCATCCAGGTTTTCTGTTTGCATCAGCTCTGTCACGGCGCTGCGCTGCACCCGTGGGAATGTATGCCAAGTGCTCTCCGGCAAACCTGCCCGATTCTGGACGCCACTTTCCATGTCGTGATGAGTCAGTGACAAAATAGCGGATTTAAAAAAAGACGCAATTAAGGATGTGTAACGACTGATGGTTTAAAGTGTGGCACAGATGATTCTCTTGCAGTCACAGGTGTTGCCTTTGCTTTTATTTTAAACATCCATCCACCGTACATCCATCCATCCATTATCTATACACCGCTTAGTCCTCACTAGGGTCGTGGGGGGCTGGAGTCTATCCCAGCTGACTCAGGGTGAAGGCAGGGGACACCCTGGACAGGTCAAAAATTCGGAAAATGAAACATATGATGAAGTGGAATGCTAAATATGTTCTTTGGGTTTCTTCGGATGTATAGAAACATGAGGTTTGAAGCAACTAGGAAATGGTACGATATGAAATGTATGGATGTGTAGCGGTCAGGAGAGAAGTTAAACTTCATCCTGTATGTTTCTAGACATTATTTGAAGGTTTTGTTTTTCCATCCATCCATTATCTGTACACTGCTTATTCCTCACTACGGTTGCGGGGGGCTGGAGTCTATCCCAGTTGACTTGGGGTGAAGTCTATCGCAGGGCTACACTTAGAGACAGACAACCAAGCACACTCACATTCACACCTACGGACAATTTAGAATCACCAATTAAGCTCAACATGTTTTTGGACTGTGTGGGAGGAAGCCGGAGAACCCGGAGAGAACCCACGCTGCATGGGGAGAACATGCAAACTCCACGTGGAAAGATTCCCACCGGGACGCGAACTGGCGACCTTCTTGCTGCGAGGCAACGGTGCTAACCAACTGCGCCACCCTGCAGCATCCACCGTACACACAAACTTTTTTTTTCTTTTTTTTTTCAACTGAAGATCCTCTTAAATGGTCAAAGAAGTGATTGACATGTAATTAAAATCCAACAGTGGAGATGATGTTATGGAGTGATAGAAGCATAATGGAAATAGTGATTTTCTGTCATTTAAAATTTGTTGCAGTCCTGCTGCTGTAAACTGCAAAATCGGCGCCGGTTTCAGTCGTAATGGCACACAGTGTAAAACCCTGGTGTTACATTACTTGCATTAGATTGACCAAGTGGATCAATACAGAAAGTATCATATAGATATATAAATATATATATATGTGTATAAAATCGCTCAGCCGTTTAATGTGCAATTCAGAAAAACGTGAACACATTTAAAACATTTCATTCCTGTTTTTAATTGCCTGCATGAAGTTGCTAAATCAATTGCAAGAGACAAATTAGCGACAAATGAAAAAATGCATTAAAGGTCAGATCTATAATGTGGCCCATGTGTGCTGCTGTTACTAATATAACTGAATAAACACCGGATTGTTCAATATTACTGCCATATTATCACATTTTACATTTATGAAGTTGCTGGTTTCCTATTAATGTATTCCTGTTTAAAAATATAGTTAAAATATAATTACAAGGAGGTTTAAAGCTCTTGGTGAGGAAGCCCTGGCTAATATTGCATATAAAAATGTATATTTATAGTTTAAAGCTGGACTAAAACTAGCTTTTCCAACTTTAATGTTTAGCTATTTATCTCTACAAACAGAGATCTCGCACTAATCCTGCTGCACTTGGAAGTCATTAATACTTAAATGGGACGCTTATTCTTTCATGCTTACAGATTATGCTCAGATACATAACGCAGGTGAGGTTATAGTTTATTTCTACATGAAATGAAAAATTATCTCCAACATCTAAAAACATTTCTTAAAGAAAGCTCCACGGCCGTAGAGTTTGAGGATGAATGCCTCCGTGAGTCAGAGCGTGTCACACCTGAAATCCATTCATTGTATAGAGAGCGTTAAACAATGCTCGGCTGTGGGAGGATTCAACGGCATTAAAACGCCACTTAAATTAGATCAGTCTCACCAGTGAAAAATAATTTGGAGTCGCTGAGATGTGAAAAGTTTATTATTTTCCGTTTCATGGCTTTGATCACCTTTAGTAAACAGTGTTTTACTTTTGAGAAGCTAAAGTGTGACGAGCTTTGAACAAAACCTGTTGGAACTTAGCTAATCGTGGTGAGGACTATTATCATTTACAGCAGCAATATACACTCACCGGCCACTTTATTAGGTACACCTGGCTCGTACCGGGTTGGACCCCCGTTTGCCTTCAGAACTGCCTTAATCCTTCATGGCATAGATTCAACAAGGTACTGGAAACATTCCTCAGAGATTTTGCACATCCATGATGCGGATCTCCCGTTCCACCACGTCCCAAAGGTGCTCTACTGGATTGAGATGTGGTGACTGTGGAGGCCATTGGAGTACAGTGAACTCATTGTTATGTTTAAGAAACCAGCCTTAGTTGATTGGTGCTTTATGACATGGTGCGTTATCCTGCTGGAAGTAGCCATCAGAAGATGGGTCCACTGTGGTCATAAAGGGATGGACATGGTCGGCAACAATACTCAGTTGGTACTAAGGGGCCCAAAGTGTGCCAAGAAAATATCCCCCACACCATTACACCACCACCACCAGCCTGAACTGTTGATACAAGGCAGGATGGATCCATGCTTTCATGTTGTTGTTTCATTCTGACCCTACCATCCGAATGTCGCAGCAGAAATCGAGACTCATCAGACCAGGCAACGTTTTTCCAATCTTCTATTCTCCAATTTTGATGAGCCTGTGCAGACTGTAGCCTCAGTTTCCTGTTCTTAGCTGACAGGAGTGGCACCCGGTGTGGTCTTCTGCTGCCCATCCGCCTCAAGGTTCGACATGTTGTGCGTTCAGAGATGCTATTCTGCAAACCTCGGCTGTAACGAGTGGTTATTTGAGTTACTGCTGCCTTTCTATCGGCTCCAACCACTCTGGCCATTGTCCTCTGACCTCTGGCATCAACCAGGCATTTGCTCACTGGATGTTTTCTCTTTTTCGGACCATTCTCTGTAAACCCTAGAGATGGTTGTGCGTGAAAATCCCAGTCGATCAGCAGTTTGTGAAATACTCAGACCAGCCCGTCTGGCACCAACCACCATGCCACGTTCAAAGTCACTTAAATCACCTTTCTTCCCCATTCTGATGCCCAGTTTGAACTGCAGCAGATCGTCTTGACCATGTCTACATGCCTAAATGTGTTGAGTTGCGGCCATTTGATTGGCTGATTAGAAATTTAACAAGCAGTTGGGCAGGTGTACCTAATAAAGTGGCCGGTGAGTGTATATTCAGTGTCAAGTTATCATTCTCTGTTTTATGGAGTGCAGCTTTTGTTGTTGCCCCGTCTCTACTTCTGTTGTGTTTATAAGTGGTTTCCTCAGTAGATTAAGCAAAGGATGCCGAGATTGCAAACGAATCTGTTGACAAACAATATTTGAA